GCCACCAGTACAGTAGGACCTATTTTGATTATCAGAGAGGAGCAAAGTCACGAACAAAATGGACCTGTTGGAAAGTGATATTCGACGACCATGACCCTACACAATATCGGAGAACAAGCTATATTCGTTCTTTCCTGCATAAGAAACACTCGCAAGGCGCGTACGGTATTCGCACTCAGGAATCTCCCCCTTGGACAGTTGGTGTTGACCAATTAACCGAAACGTTGCCCGCTGAGTTCCTTTCGCCGGTTCTTCTCAGTACAGTGGTCTCTTTTCCGAACCAGTGGTAGTATTTTGACTATCAATAAGCGAGTGTAAAACTCCTATGTTGAATAAATACATTTGATTTTGATTTTGCTACAGCAGATAACAGAAGATATCCCTCCAATGCTGTTAGCATTTTCTCAGGTATAAAAGGGACAAATACAGTTTGCCCAATAATATGTACTTACCGCTATACCAAGATTAATACCACCAGAAGATTTTGTAAATACGTTTCCGTGCCCAGAGATCAAAGCGCTTATAAGAATAAATAATAATTAAAAAAACACGCTTTTGTGGATAACCGAACTAAAAAGTAGAAAATAATTTTCAATAATTTTAAATTATGAATGTGAGAAGAGAATCTCTCTTCTCTTGTGAGAGACAGAAGTGTGTTCAAATAGTTTTTCTTCTTTCTCCTGCTAACATGTCACCTGAGTGGGGTCGGCACGACATGCGATTCATGTCGTGTCGTCATCATAGCATTGGATAAGTATTTTATGACCAGCCCGGCTGCTTTACGTAAACCCTCCTAGGAAATTAACACCTAGGTCCCCAACAATTATCCGTGAGTCACCATATGCTTGTCCCGTGTGGCAATCGAACCCAAGAAACTATACCACTGAGTCAATAAAGTACTCAATTTATTTAATACTTGTCTTATTGAAAGTAAAATATTTGATAAAGTCAAAACAGCATTGCTTTCAACTCCGTCGCACACAATAGCGTCAAAAAACAAACTGATATATTCTATCCGATAAATTAATGATTACTGTCGTTTTTAGAAAAAAAATGGGCATGCAATACGGTTTTATATTGAATATTGAAGCTCGCCGTTAGCGTGTACTTTTTTGATAATCAGTGTTTTTCCAGAGTCTGGGTGCTTAGTTATATATTTATAATATGCATTTATATACAAAAGTTACGTATGTTTATCAGTTGTATTACCCACAGTACAAGCGTTGCATAATTTAGCACTAGAAAACGATGATATATTTATTATTATTTATATTTATATTTATTTAAACTGGTCGAATAATCTTTCGAATCTACATACCTATCTTCTTCCTTGCAACACTACCACCGCCTCCAAGAGTTGTCATCCTAGTGCTACGCCACAATCGAGCATTAAATACATCCAGACCTTCCCCCGCTGCTAATCCCACGGGTGCTTTAATGCCGGCAATTACTAGATCCGGGGTATCGCATCAAATATCGTTTTATCGCCGCCCGAGCCCATAACGTATCGAGGTACACGCACGTCCCTTTGAGTGATACGCGCTTTTCTACCGTTCCTCTTCCGTTCATTGGGTTTTATGGATGATTTTTTGCTACGTTTTAAATGGCGCACGGCACGCGAGTGAGGTATTGGCATTAAGGATGCGACGCTTTTGAGCCTTCCACACCTGAGTCCATTGTGGACCACTAAACGTATGGTAAAGTTTTAGCAGGCTACTACTACCATATAGCAAACAGAAAAATCAGTAACGAATTAATGGAATATAAGAAATAATATGTTTGTCTTGTATGCTATATTGAAGGAGTAGTCTGCTAAAATTTAACATACATACTGGCCAAGCCCGTTCTTATGTCTCACGATTTCAGTGTCTCTGTCTTCAAGGTGTATTTTGCTGAGTTATTTGCATCTAATTTTAACGGTAACAAACGCTTTATCACCTGTTGCGGTGAGAGCTGAAATGGTACTCAAGCGGTAATTATTCTGAGGGGAGTTAAATAGTAGTCCATTGTATTTGTTAAGTATTCATCCCGTAGACATTGCAATCCTCTTTAAGGTATGTAAATTTATAGAAATGAGATGGGGTTACTATCATTTTAATCCTCATACTTTTGAAACGTAACGTTACTCGTAATTTTGAATTGTTTTAACCTCTTTTGTTGCAAGGTTCGGTAAATCAGTGTTTGAAAACTATTGTAATTAATTATTACTTTATGTCTACAGATGAGGTTTGCATTTGGGTTGTTCCTGCCTATGGACTTTGAGCCACTGCTATGGTACCAATGATAGCAGTAAACAACATACTATTTATTTATTTAAAAATTTTATGCACACTAGCGTACAATGACGGACTTAACACCATTAGGTGTTCTCTACCAGTCAACCGACAAATAAACAGAGAGAATAAGAAGGTGCGAAAGAGCCAAATGAGATCCATAAGCTTTAAAATATTTATATTCGACGTTTCTGCACATCGTATTTATTTATTATATCATAATTATATCTATCATTTATTTTACATATCACAACAGGGATTAAAAAAATCGCATAGTTAAGATATTAAATTTTTTAACATACCTTGAAAAAACAATAAAAACTCTAACAGAATTTCTTTTAGGCAAACCTCATTTCACGTACGGGTTTTAGACGAAAAATAAGTGAAATGTAATTAGACGAAAAAAATAAGACACTAAGCAATGTCACCGCCAAATGACGCAAGAATATGGGAATAAGTAAAAAAAGGTAAGCCTGTTTTATAATGATTTTTAACAAATATGTCATTTCTCGCTAATGATCGTAACATAGAAATTTAAATAGTAGTCTTAGCGAGAGGTGATTCTAAGAAGACGAGACCAACCAGACACAATACGTCAAAACATGTTCTATCTTCAAGAGAAACAGTTTTTAGATATCATATTGACCGCCAACTGCCTAAGAAGAAGAAGAAACAAATTTGAAAAAGTTTAGTCTATCTCGGTATTTCATACCATTTTTGGATTTTTAGTTTGCAAATCTTATATGGTTGAGGTGTTTATAAATATCTTGAGTCTGTCGATTGTCCCGTTGATCAAGGACTGTAAATTTTCGAAATGCCGGGCATTAAAAATAGTTTTAAAAGATTTTATACATAAAATGAACGTCATAAAATTCGTAAATAAGTTTTATTAAAATATATTCAATACGTGGTAATCGCATAAATGGAAGGAACTATTAGCATTTTGTTTAACATTCCCACTTTTGTTTTGATAAGAATATTTGGATAATTATTATTATTTCCTTAAGTTTCCGGATGTTTTTCGAAGAAAAATCATTAATAAAATACTCACCAAGCAGAATTTGGCGGTCGCTTATAGTTTTCGAGAAAAAAAATTATTTAAAACGTAATTTTCACTAAGAAAGTTCACCATTTTACCAATTTCACTTCAAAAACTGAACACACAATACCGCCAACATGATAAATGCAGGAAGTGGGTGAAGATTAATTTTCTTTTAATTTAAAGAGTGACAGATCCGACACAGAGCAATCCGACTGGGATAGGTCAGGTTGGAAGGTGAAGGCGGGAGCTGGGCTCCCGCCTTAGCCTTCGTGGTTATTTTTTTATAACCACCCAGAAAACTTTAGTGTAACAGTACTTTTAGTATTTTTAAAGACTCGTTTTAATAATGCGAAGGTTATAATTTGGAAAAGTCTGTGAATTCTCTAAATTTATACATGTTGTCAAACACAAAATGGCGGATTTATTTAGTGAAAACAACGTTTAAAATTTTTTTTTTGAAAACTATAAGCGACCCGCAAATTCTGCTTGTTAATTATTTCATTAGTGATTTTTTTTAACCGAATAAAATTTTTGTTTGGTCGAAAACACCCGGAAACTGATGGAAATTTTTACCATTTTTCTTAACAAGACAGCATAATCAAAAATTGCTAAGGTTTTATTTGGCCTCGGCGCCGGGCATCGTAGGTTCGATTCCCACACGAGACAGCTATTTTTGTGACTCACAGATAATTTTTTCGTGTCTGGGTGTTTTTCCACGTCAAATTTATGTATGTAAAACGTATGGGAAATGTTTTAAATAAAAAAAAGAAAGAAAGTCTGAGTAATTAACCTTTACAAGAAAAAAAATGAGAATATTCTTATTAAATTTTTAAAAATTTTAACTAACGAAGAAAGTTATACCTCTGGAGAGGGAAACCGAGCTTAATCACCTAATCAAGGTTTTAATATCAAAACCTTTCTCGCAATTCTTTGGGTTATGAAAGGGAAAATTTCAATCGTGTTGTGAATAAAAATTTAGATATTTATCAAATATAAGTAGTATAAATAAAAAAAAGATATTTACAACGATAAGAGAGTACGTATAGTTATTAAACAAATTGAAATGTCATTACTTTGAACGTAAACAGATTTTTCTTCCGTTAGAAAGTGGCAAGAAAACATGAGGTTCGCCTGATGTTAACCGGTTACCGCCACCTTTGGAGACTTTCAACACCCATGGAGTGGACGCATCGTTAACCTTTAAAAGAGTGCTTCCAATTACCTCTATCTTAAAAAGATACATAAAACTGTAATAGCAAACGTAACTCTTATAGGCTGTGCTACTTCTCCAACTGGGCCTGCCCATTCATGAAATGTCCAAGCCCTCGGGTGTTGCAGGTGTTCATGGGCGGCGGTAATCACTTATCATCAGGTGAGCCTCCTGCTCCTTTGCCCCTGTTTTACATAGAAATAAAACGCATACCCTACACCTATAGCCACGAGTTGTACTAAAGATTATTATTTACAGAATGTGTTAATTGTTAATGATAATTTTACTTTAACTCTTTACTTTCCGTGTTAATTGAGTTTCAAATGTAATCATTCGTAGGTTATTTTTAATGCTCATTTGTCTGATGTTTCTGTGCACGCTGCTGACGGTATTAGTATAGTAAACAGTGCGTCACATATTTGTCCCCTGTTTCAGCCAGAACCGAAAACAATCTGATAAGGAAACGCAATCGCCTATGCTGAAGATTATAAAGGACATCATGCAGAGGGAGAAAAAGTAATGTCACTCTTACTTCTACAATTCTCTATATTTTCCGCCTTTGGGTCTAGTAAAATCGAAGTAAATATCAAATATTTTGATGAAACGTAAAAAAAGTAACAGTCTATAAATGTCTTAGAGTTTGCAACACATCTAAGGCCACCGGTGTTTTAAATTTCAACCCTCAATGAGACAAACGGCGTCCTCATATCAATTTAGCTATAAAAAACAAGTAATTAGAATTAGATCCAGTCGTAAATCCACATCTTTGAAAATCATCGATTTTTTTTTAATGTCCCTCATTGTAACACAATATTTATTATAACCTTGTAAAATATTAAGCCTTATTTTATATAGTAAAATAGAGTCAAAAGAAGTTTTCTGTACAAAGAGTTCATCAGCTATTTATTTCCAGCGATCCGGAAAGAGCGAACTTAATTAAGAAAGAGCGGCAGGAAAGCAGAAAGAAGAAGACGTACTCAGGGATGAACCAGAAATGTGACACTGTAAGTTGGCTGAATTGATTACAGTAAAGCCCAAAATTAATCTTGGAAAATACTATACTTAATAACAGTCCTACTTAACTTAGATCCCGGGTCTCCTGCAACTAGGTAACAACTGAGACATTATCTTTTTATCATTAATATTTATCTTTTCATATGCTCAGCCTTTCTGTAAGTTTTTATCTCTTAATGTCGCATCGGCTGAACAGATTTGGGTGAAATTTTGAAGGTTATCATCGATACCTGTTACTATCAGAATAAGCTGACAATGTGTGACTTCCGGATTGCATTAAATCATATATAGAATATATTCTAATCCGATCTATCGAATCTATTACATTTCATAAATAATCAAGCAGGCTCTCGAAGCCAGTTCAAATTATTTGATAGCTCTGTTAATGCTGATTGTTTAAACTAACGTTTTCAGATATCCTGTGACTCGAGCAGCACGGAAAGGTACAAGCCCTCACGTGACTCCAAAATGGCCCAAGATTTACAGCAACAAATTTACAACGATCAACATCCGGAGATGACGCAGAGTATTGTACGTGTAAACACTCCGTAACTTTTCGACCGCTTGCCTATAATGATGGACAAGTAGTGGCATTTGTAACGAATCAACCAATTTTCTGCTAGTGCCAGTAGTTCACTATACCCGAATCAGTGAGATGGAAAGTACATTACTCTGTGAAAGCGTTTCAAATCTTTCTTTAAAGACACGTCGAATTTGATACGACTATTGTTTTCTAAGAAGAAAACTGCTTGGAATCAAAGCAGAGCACTGAGAGAACAAAGTTTAATGCTACAAACATTTCATTGGTATTAAAGTCTGTAAGAAGAGCCAAAATATGTATGACAGCTTTCATGCAATCATGTTTAAGATTTTCGATATAAGTGAACATTACAATTACTCAGTAAACTTTGACTACGATGCAAATAAATTTGAGTATTCGATATACATATTTCCCGAAATATGATTTAGAAAGTTACATTCAAACTTATATTTGTCCACCGCATAATTCTATTTAGGTATGTGCATTTCTTAATGATCGGTAAAAAGAATATTACCACTGTAACACATTGTGTTGTGACATTTTTATCTGTCAACATATCTTACTTCATGTCATTGTATCATAAATTTAGTTTGATGATAAAATAAATTAGGTATGTTCTCACCATGTTTTATGTTTTATGTATTTGCTTTCCGAAAGAAGTGTTCTTAATTAATAAAGTTAACTGTCATACTATTACAAAAAAATAATAATAAAATTCCTCGCGTTGTATGCTTTACTCCACATTTCATTGAAAATATTTTTTTCTTACTATTTGGTAAATATGCAGGTTTCCTCACGTTGTACGTGCACGTGTTAAGTCTTAAAATTAAAAAATTCATTGGTGAAGGCACCGGGGATCGAACTCCGGTTGCTCGAGTACATTGAAGTACGGTGGCAAGGCCACACAGCAGCCTCGGCTGTTGCACGAACGGGCAGGCCCGTCCGGGTAAGTACCGCGACCTCTCAGAAGACCAGCGTAAAGTGGAAGTATGGCAAATACTTTCGCGTTTCGTCTGGTGAGTGAGGTCGTCTGGTCCGGAGCCCAATTTTCAAAGGTTGTCAACGCGTCTGTAACCCTCGGGTGTAACAGATGTCCATGGGCGGCGATATTCACTTAACATCAGGTGACCCGTCTGCTCGTTTGGCAACTTTTCGCATAAAAAAAAGTAAGAGTGCCTGGACAATGAGTAATATATTATAATATTATTTAATATGGATCGCTATATGAACTAAAATAATAATAATTTAACACCAGCCTTACCTTATTTACAGCCTTTTACCGGTGACAAAAAGGAGAGCTGGTGGTGTTGGGTATGTTTTTAAATCCAATGTACATATTTGTTATTTAGTACCATTATTAACATGTTAAAAAACAAAATAATAATTTTATTTAACTGATATAATCATATTTATTTTGAATCAAGCATTTTTTATTCGGCGTTATAGAGAAAACTCAGTTCCGAATGATTGAAAAGCTTTTGAATAAATGAGATTTACTATTTTTAATTTTAAAATGTTTATTTGACTTTTTTATTTTTGAAGATGATCAGTGACCTGGTGGTTCACCTTATGTTAAGCGATAACCGCCGCCCATGGACTTTTGCTCACCAGACGAAAAGCAGATGTATATGGGCCATCCATTTACACTATGCCATTTTCTTGTACATACAAGAGCAATAATTGAATGTAATAAATTGGGCGCAATAATTGACCATCAAGAATTGTAAGCAACAGTTTACACACAGATATAGTGAATAAAATTGAATGCCATTATTGAATGCAAGTCTTGAGAAGAAATAATTCCAAAATGTCTTTTGTTTATACCAATACAATTATGTTTAGGCGATTATTGCTTTCAAGTTTTGACTTTTCTAAACACATGCTTGTATCTGCATGTACAATTTATTGGCGTGTTGCTTCAAGTATTGCATGTATTTACGTTGACAAATTTTTCATCCAAGTGTTGCACGTTTTAAAAGGGCTGTTTGTTTAAAAAAAATGGGTCAATGATGTGTCCAAGTTAGATTATGCCGATTTAATATATTTCATTGAGATTTATTTATTATTATCCATATGTTATTATTCATTTTTTATCCATCTTTTTTTTACAACCTTTTCTCAATATTTCTTGCCTCAAAAGAACAGCAACGATTAAACACCCTCTAACTCTTTCACTTCATGCCAGTCCTCTGAGAATATTGTATGTTGAAGCACCTACTTCCCCGGACAACCAGAATCCGATGCATGGCTCCACCAGTGTTTTTTTTTTAAATCAAATAACATAAATGACAATTAATGTACAATAATTAATGTCAATAATTTCATAACATGCACTGAGCTTATTATGAAATGCATGTAATATTGTATTTTTCTCTTACACGATGTGATTATTGCGTGACAAACCCCATCTCTACAACCTTAAATGAGGGTGTCGACACTACCGTAAAATTTTCTTTTTATAAGGCCCCAAAATTTTCCTTTATTTTTACTTTTGTATTTATTTTTCAATAAGCATTGCCGCACCAAAAATTACCTAAGTTGTGGGTGCGTTAACTTAACATACCCAAACACCCACTCCCGGAAAAATCATTTACAGGTCAAACGAATACTTGTTTAGTACGGGAATCGCAGCACGTTGCGCAGCAGCCGATATTCCCAGCCGCTACGCGAAACGTGCTGGCAGAGTCATTAGAGCGAAAGTCCTCATTTGAAATATATCTTACGAAAAAGTATTTTTAGTGACGTACCCTTGTTCATCACGTTTCAGAAAGACACGGAAAAGAAGAAAAAGGCGACATCAGATGACACGTGCTCGTGCGTTTCATGCGCGTAAGTAATGCTCCAATGTGATCGAGTCCTTACTAATATTATAAAGGCGAAAGTTTGTATGTATGGATGGATGTTTGTTACACTTTCACGCAAATACTACTGAATGGATTTTAATGAAACTTTACAATAATATAGCTTATACATCAGAATAAGACATAGGCTATAATTTAAATACATATTTTATTTATATCTGCCTTTCTGTCTGAATGTTACGCCTACAGTCTATTCTACACAGACGTAGTCGCGGGCAGCAGCTAGTACGAAATAAATCCTAAAACTGATGTAGTTTTTACATCTTATATAGAGCTCGGCCATAGTGAATTTAAAAATTCAATTTCCACACGAAACTGTGGTAGGGGCCACGCAACAGCTTCGTCCGTTGCACGAACGGGCAGGTCCGTCCGGATAAGTATCACAAACTCACAGAAGACCGGTGTAAAGTGGAAGTATAATACTTTCATCGCGTTTCGTCTGGTGAGTAAGGTAGCCAGAGCCCAATTTTCAAAAGGTTGTCAACGCATCTGTAACCCTCGGGTGTAGCAGATGTCCATGGGCGGTGGTATTCACTTAACATCAGGTGAACCACCTGCCACCGTTAACGATGGCCCTACCACGGTTTCTTTGACTTTGACTTAGGCTCAAGAAGGTGATCGGCTCCGACTACGTCTGCATCGCGTGCCTGGTGCTGGTGTTCTGTGCGTCCGTGGCCGTGGGCTTCTTCGTGGTGTACAAGGGCGTGGTGCCGGTGTACATGACGCCGCACGCCCGCGACGACGCTGAGGCGGCGAAGCAGAGCGAGCTGATGAAGGCGAGACGCCAGTTCCGCAGCGAGGGGACCGGCGGTGATACGCCGGGGTATGAGAGGCGGTGAGTGCCCAACCCTCTCTGAGTGGGGCAATGTTGTACACATCACACTGTTCATACAATAATGGCACTATCCGATGTTTCCGGGGATGTGTCGAGGATACGTTATAGTTTTGTTACTGCAGCACTTAAATTAACTATTTCATTTTCACCCGGTATCGAACTCTGTTTGCTCGAGTATACTTAATTAAATTCGATCGCCCGGACACTGATCTATCACGCTTCAAATCAAACTTAAATGTGATAAAATGTTTTATAACAAAGTTGACAATTCTTTTCTTCGATTTTAAAAATATCAAAATATTTAAGTATATTTTTATATCCTTTTCACAGCAAAAAGTGGAGCGATGTTGTGACCAACCCCTGGAGAAGTATTCCTTTGCTATCTGGAGCAGGTCAGACTAAAATAATACAATCCTTGAACACGTTACATCCCAAATTTATTATAATTTCGAACATTATAGCAGAAATACCAAGTATTTGCCCGCTGTGTCTCGTTTGTCATATTAAGAAACTTACCTTGAAATTACACCGTGAAATTAACCTTAACTTGTCGGAACTATTTTTTTTATTATCGATGCGAAACTGATAAGTCACCTGATTCTATTGTCTATTAATCTAATTCTTAAATCCAAAGACAAATATTGCTTTCAGTACATTTCAGCTTCGCTCGATGTTTTACAGTTATGATCTTTCTCCTATAAAATTTCGATTAAATCAAAAATAATAGAGCTGTATAAATAATCAAACCTTTCCCTAAGGTTTGGTTATTTATGAAATGTATAATCTCTCGCACGTTGATCTCAACATCGTCTATGTTATCTCGAATGAAGATCATTTTTGTATTTGATATTTTTTTTAGTACTATTTATAATACATAATAATTTTTGTTTGAATTCGTTTTTTTTTTTTTTTTTGCAAATTGTTGTAAAGATTCTAACTGCCTGTAACACTGCAGTTTGAGCGCTGGTCACGACTGTAGTGAATTGAGTTTTTTAAGAAAAAAAAATATTTTGTAATTTGTACATTTTTCTGTTTCAGAAATCGGCGACTCCAATTTACGGGATACGGTACGTTGTAATGTCTATTGTTCTTGAAAAGCCTTTCCTTCTTGTAACGGAATCTCTTAAAATCCGCACATCGCTTAAGAAGAGAGACAAAGTCGCGGGTTGACATTGACTTGAAAATGTTTACAACATGAACAAATTTATGTTTAAGAAATAATATAACCAATCCACTCTTCATTAGAAACGCACTTTCACCTCTAAGGTATATGTTATTATAATTAAGAAAATTACTCGACTAAGAGGAAATATACTATGGGAGACCAATCGTCTTTCGTTGTTGCATGAATGGCTCGGCTGGATTAGTGCTGTACTATGGCCCCACAGAACCGATTTTACCCGGTTAATGTAGTAATCACACTATTAAGACTCCAAAATACAACTACAACCATTACGATCTTATGAACGCTTACTCCATTGAATTTCATTCAACCATTTGACAACTTCCATTTTGGTTTTGCGGAGTTTCTTCTGTTTCAAAAAGGCGGAGAAGCATAGAGAAAACATAAACATCTCGCCCGCCATATCTTATTATTCCACTTATTTGAGGCACGGCACCCTGAAGAATTGAAGGGGGGGCGTGTAGCGTGTTGCTCTGTTTGTCGCCGGTGCGGTGCGGGCCCGCGCGTAAACCCTTTGATTCAGTGCTCGGGGAATAATTTTTATCAATCAGCTCCCGTACATATAACCACGCGTTCTCGAACGAACTTCGAATTATCTCTAATAATTGGTGAGGTGAAAGCAGTACTTTACTTACCATTGATTGTCTTCGTGTTTCATTCAGTCTTCCAATGATCTTTCCATTTGAAATTATAGATGGTTGATAATCTTGACAATAGAACATTAGTAACGATATCGTATTAATTAATGACCCTATCAAAACTGTAGCCTTAAAATTAAAATAAAATGAAATCGATTATTTAATTTCTTTTTTCAATTTTCCTTTATAATACTGTGATTACATATAAATAAATTGAATTAATTTCTCACGAATGGATTTAAACACTAGACTTTAGAGTTTTTTTTTAAATAAATAGAGAAGATTGCAAACCCGACAATATTTAGAATCTCCACCAACACAAACATCAAATAAATATTACTAGTAGGCTCACTAGACATATTTATCCCCTTTCTGACAGATGTTCATAAACCACCTTAAATCTAATTTTAATCGGCCTTTCAGAAATTAAATGATCATGAATAGAGACCACAACATTTATTATTATGTATTTTAGGTAGTGTAGGACGACCCCCCACTAGATGGAGTGACGACCTGTGCAAATGTGCGGGAAGTCGATGGATGCAGGTGGCTCAGGATCGTACTTCATGGCAGTCTATGGGGGAGGCCATGTTCAGCGGTGGACTCACAGGCTGAAATGATGATCATGATTATGTATTATTTGACTGTTTATCGAAACCCTGTAGTAGCCTCACCAGACTCCCTTTACGACAAAGAGCCGGATTACGCGGGACAGTCGGTAAACCGCGAAGGATATGTACAGTCGCACTGAAAAGTCTTAACATGGTTATGACAGATGATTGTGGGAAGACGTGATGAACATAAATACAAATATATGGGTCGCTTTGTGTTATTTATACGCCTCGAAAGCGTTTATTAGATGGCCCCATCCTTTTTCACTTTCCAAATTTCATCGTTTAGGCCGCTAAAAACTATAAAGTGGTCCGAGTTGGTCAAAAATGGTCAGGAAATTTTAGCAAGTTTTACATTTTTATAATTTATTATATTGTGTTATAAACTCACTGCAGTTAGTGCCAAAGTATTGGCCATTTGATAAAAGTAAATGAAATACAAATTAAAGGGACTTAACAAGTCTTATTAAGAAAACCAGTTGTGTCCTCACTTTGAGACAAAAATTGAAAAAAATACTGCCAATTTAATTTTACTTTTGTGCACGACCGTACGCGTTGTCCTCGCGCGGCCGCGAGCGCCGTTTATAGGGTTCCGTACACAGGGGGTAAAACGGGACCCTATACTGAGTCCGCTGTCTGTTTCCGTCTGTCACCAGGCTGTATCTCATGAACCGTGATAGTTAGACTGTTGATATTTTCACGGAAATGATTGATGTATTTCTATTACTGCTATAACAACAAATACTAAAAAACAGAATAATATTTAAGTGGGGCTCCCATACAACAGACATGATTTTTTGTGGTTTTTATGGATAGGCAGTTGAAATTTTCACAGATGATGTATTTTTGCTGCTGCTATATCAACAAATACTAAAAATTAGAATTAAAAAAAATCTTTAAGGGGGCTACCATACAATAAACGCAAGGCGGTTGCTTGACAACTCATAAGTACTTACCAATAACTTTGTATAGATAACTAGCGACCCGCTCCGGCTTTGCACGGGTAATGCATTATACTTCCAAAATTCCCCTTGAACCACTATCTAGTAAAAAAAAACCACATCAAGATCCGTTCCGGCAGACAGGGACAGACAGGGACGACTTTATTTTAAACTATGTAGTAATGATGGTACGGAACACTTCGTGCGCGAGTCCGACTCGCACTTGGCCGGAGTTTTTTCCTCTTCGCCTCCCGCGGTATTGTTTGCGCTGCCGCATTATATCCGGCGGTCCCCTAAAGCCATTGTTTCGTGGACGTGATGTATTAGTCGGAGAGTAACTTTGAAGTGTCTACCTATGCGAGTTGCGGCGTGTCGTGCTGGCTCGCTGAAATTGATAACGCCGATTGTTTTCAACCGACTATAAACAGGAGGAGGTTCTCAATTCGACTCTGTATTTTTTTTAAATCAAAATTTGTAGAGAAATTACGAAAAGATTGTCGCCGCTGTGGGATTCGAACCCACGTCTTCGGCATTCGCGGCCTGACGCTTTAGCCACTAAGCTAAACGGCTGATTGCCACACCGACGAAAATCTTAACGTCTTTTATCTACATTGTTTCTTTAGCATTGGAAACAATGCTTGGCGCATCCATTGTTATATCGAATATCGTTTCACAACGATAATTCGAACGAGAGATGCCATTGCTTTTAGATATATTTTTAATTTCTTTTTTATTGTGCTAATCTCTGCTCTTAAGATTAAACAATTTTTTTTTATGTTTGTTACCTCATAAATTTCCACTGGATGAAACCGATTCTGATGACTCTTTATTTATTTGAAAGCTAGTGCTTTCCTATGTACTTAGGCCCATATGAATTTTATTGATATTGGAATGTAGGCTACGGAGATGCTTAAAAAAAATACTAAAAAAAATAAAAAAATACTCCTGAAAATCAACTGTAAAATGTATTCAGAGCGAGACTTTTAAAGTCGGTTTTGTTTTTCTTTAATAATTATGGCAATGTGGCATGATTAGTTCTCGTGTGTACAGATAATATGCGATGGATTCTCGAGAACCGCGAAGGTATTTGCATTGTTGACGAGCCGATTGGCGTAGTGGATTGTGTGGGTTCGATCGTTATTGCTGGAAATCTATTGTGTAATGAACATATCGCTTTTCTAGTGTCTGAGTGTTTATCTTTAATGAAATTTTTCGTGTTATCCAGGTCGATTCGAGAATGGTTTAGATTCACAATTCGTTTTGTTTTTATTTAAAGGGGTTTATCAATGAAAGGTCAAAGAAATGTGAATAACAGTACCTGTAATTCATTTAACCGAATTGAAAATTATTCATAAGAAATTTTAAAACGATTTTTTATGGGAACATTAACTCTACTATACTTCTTGTTATATTTCCTCAATAGCCGAAAACTTAAGTTTTAAAATGGTGTTTGAATATATAAATTGGGTCAAGAATTATGGAAGTTATGGCGTACCGACAAAAAATATCTTTGAGAAATAATAAATATAGATTGTTATTAATGCAAATTGCAATTATATATTAGTTTTTATTTTTTGTTCAATACCTACACTTATTATTGGTACTAACCATTGTTAGAAACTACATTCAACTTGTCTACGTTGTAAACGATATCAGTTTGGTCAAGGTAGAGTGAAAGAAGTCGACACAGGCCAGCATATACTCCCAACTTTGGATTGAATATTGAGTTGTTGCCTTATTCTCGATGCACACGTTGCGGGAATAATATTGGGGCCAATGTCTCAACATATGGAGCCGGTGCAATGTGGCACCCCGGAAAAGCACGGAAGATTTGATGCTTCTCCTTAAATAGTCGATGTTACGAATGTTTTGTAAGGCCTTCGTATCTTTTAATGAAGTTAGTCCCAGCTACCTCACTCAGCAGAACGCAGAAGTGTTACTTCCACTTCTCACCGATCTTCTGTTATCTCGTGATACTTACCTCATATGGACCTGCCCATTTGTGCAACAGCGAAGACTGTTGCGTGGCCCTACCACAGTTAATACACCGTATGCCGAGTTTGCTTCGAAGTGCGGGCCGGACTGACCACATAAAACTAGTATCGGGATCAGAACGAATTTTAGTTTCTGTATCTCGACTTTCACCGAGTCCCGTCCGTTTCACGGTCTTATGCCGCTACACAGACCTTCACTTAATTATTTCTTTTTTTCTAAGTTAGACCGCGAATAAACGTTTCTTCTTTCTTTCTTTCTTAAAAGGCCCTGCCACAGCGAATATTGTTGCGTATCATTACAAAATCCATACATTGTTTCGATCTATCGAGAAACCATTGAGCATTCTGTAGTTTGTCCCGAAGCATTATAAAACAGTTTCCCCAAGGCGTCCGTAAGTAACTTAGAGGGACCTTGCGGAGGCATCTGTATATGGGAGGTTTTAAAAAACCAATAATCATCTGCCGTCGATACATCAGTCTGATAAGGGACTCTCAACTTAATTGCTCTTGTAATAGGAACTTTACGCAAGCGTCATTCAGCTTTCGAGTGTAAACCGCAAAGCGGTAAGGATATAAAGAGCCCTCTCGTAAACGATAAATATTAATATATTATGTTCAGAGGTGTAATGGAAGTCAATTGGTGGAAACGCCTTTACGCTACACAGAGTGTTCTGTTATTGTTAATTGATTAATTTTCTACATATTTTCTTTTTCAATGTCACTATATCATGGCATGATACAGATACTTAATATATAGACGGTATAATAAAAATATTTTACATGAATAAATAAATGCGGGAATAAAAATTTCCTGGCAGGCTGTCACAATTATTTATCTCCACGCACTGGTTTGATAAATAAATTTGTTGAAAAATATATCTTTAAACGAGATTCCTCTTATATTCTTTCAAACAATCTCCAATATCAGCCAGGTGGACTATGCCGGTATAGGCATTAGGCATTTTACTAGGACAAGACTTTAACTTTAGAATAACATTCTTTTTTTTTACTTTTATTAGTGATTATGATATTAAACTTAAAACTAATAACTGTAGACGTACATATTCATGATTTTATTTTATGGATCTATATGCCAACGGCAAGCACTGACGGCTTTCGACTGTTCCACTTCTACGTTTAAAAACTGTCTCAAAAATTGGCCCACATCACCGCGACGGTTTGGCGTTCTCAAAACGTGATAAGCCGTAATGTCACATTTTGTGACTTAATATTAAATGTAATCGAATAAATTTTATGTAACTTTCCCACCATTAGCCATCCGCCTACGTCAAACTTAACAGTTACCTATTATTTATGAATTAAAATTGAGTTTATTCGCACAACGAAAACTGTAGCACCCTGTAGCATACGAGGGCGCGGCCGGCCACAAATCATACCGCGGCTCGTGCGCCTAAGAAGGTATTTATGCCGCTCCCGCGCGGGGCATTAAGTGATTTGTAGCTCGCCACGCGGAGACGCCGGCAACTCTTTTTTTTTCTCTCCCTCGCTTTGTCTCTACGCTCTCGTGTCCCGGGATTTAGTCGGAGGATACGCCGCGGTCCCGGCAGGAGAGGAGTCTGTCTTGATTAGCCCGCGCTCTGAGTTTGCACGCGTACAGTAACCTTGGATATATAATGTTTTTTTTTTTATTTATTTAGGTGGTAGGGCCACGCAGCGGCCTCGGCTGTTGCACGAATGGGCAGGCCCGTCCGGGTAAATACCACGACCTCACAGAAGACCAGCGTAAAGTGGAAGTATGACAAATACTTTCGCGTTTCGTCTGGTGAGTGAGGTAGCCGGAGCCCAATTTTCAAAAAGTTGTCAACGCATCTGTAACCCTCGGGTGTAGCAGATGTCCATGGGCGGCGGTATTCACTTACCATCAGGTGAACCGTCTGCTCGTTTGGCAACTTTCACATAAAAAAAAATATACAAATAATATGCTTACATAGCTATTCTCGTCAACCTTTTGCCTTTAATGGCGAGACACGCTCCATATATACTTCTAATTTATTTTTATATGCATTATACACATTTACTAAGTATTACTTTACACCATAATTATAACCAACACACTACTTCAAAGAATATATATGATATACTTGACTACATAGTATAAAACAAAGTCGTCCCGTTGTCCCTATGTATTCTTAGATCTTTATAACTACGCAACGGATCTTGATGCGGTTTTTTTTTACTAGATAGAGTAATTCAAGAGGAAGTTTTATATGTACAATAAATTGCATCCGTACGACGAAATTAATCTTCAAAATAGTTCTTCAAAGCTTACAACTTCTTATGCCCGAATATCGTATCCGTACATTATGTATTCGTTTATCCGAATAGAAGTACGAAATGGTGCGCACGCTGGGCCCATAAGTTAGCTAAGGCGGCCCGTGAGTTTTCAATTAAGCAAAACACCGCGTAGCGTCCTCTCTGCGGCCGCTGAAGATTCGCGGGAGCGTCTTCGTAGCGCTGAGCGGACCTTTCGCTCGCCACCGAGCGAGTGATAGAGACGGATGCTCAGTAGCGTCGCGGATGCGTGGTGTTTTTTTTTTTGTTCTTTTTTTTAATCCGGCAACGGCGTCGCCAGCGGGCCGCCCATTGTTCCGGACGCGCAGACGGACCGCGGTGTTTCTTTGTGCACGGCGCTCGGCGGGACATCCCCGACTGATTATGATGTCCCCTGTCCTCCGGCGCCGCGGCCCCCACCGGCGCGGGACGGATTAAGGCGCGGTGGGATTCGATTTTCGAACGCGTCTCAATAATTTGTTTTTCGCTTTTTCTTAAAATTAAAAAAAAAGAAAATCGAATGTGGTTGTCTATTATTTCGTAAATTACTTGCGATATTGCACTGGTTGTACGATTTAATCGGTAGGCTGAGGTTATACAGGGTGGCTTTTCTAAAGGTGCCCAAATTCACTCGGGAGGTTCAAACTCGGTAGTATAATCGATTATTGAAATAAAAACAAACTTCTTTTTTTCAAAAAAATTGCCATTCCATTCTCTAAAAAACAGAACTTGTACAACTGTAAATCTGAACCTGAACAATGCGGTAGTCATTCATAAATGCGTCGTATACTTTTGAAAGGAACGTGTGTGCGTGTTAGTTATGAATGATCGCGCGTAAAATAAATGAGTTGCCCATAAATCACGCACTTTTTGAGATAAGTTCAAGTGAATGTATTTAATTAATTACAAGTGATTTTAAATATTTATCATTTTTATATAACATTATTTATGTCTAGAATTTAATAAAAAAATAGATACACTTAGAAAAGCCTCCCTGTATACATACAATGTGCTTTAAAAAGAATATCTCCCAATTAAATTTGTTTACGTATTTTTTTAAAATCATCAACTCGTCTTTTAGTGTCTGTCCTTTATCGAAAATCATCTATTTTTATATAAAGCATTATTACTACAGCTTTTGGGTATTCTTATGCTGCATATATTAGTAGCACGAGGACAATTATCTAGAATCCTAATTCTAAAAAGAGGTGCTACTCCGCTTGAAAAGCAAAAGTTTCCAGTATAACGAACCTCTACACCTCTTAGTTAATCGTTACTTAAGTAAGTTACCACCGCTAAATTGCAATGACGATACATAGCAATGATTTATACGGCAATGCGGTGCCAATATATCGAATATATGCTAGTTTAATGCCGATAGAAACACCATCGGACCATGTGCCATGGAGGGCCCATCTTTGACGCTCCTAATACTGATTTAGCAATTTAAATATGAAAACCGTGTGCATGATTTTATTTGAATTCGCATGATTAATTTCTGGAGTTTTCTTTGTACTTTAATATAATTGTTGACTGTAATTTTAGGACCACGTAGAAGCTTTTCCTCTGTGATCATTCGGCCATTTCCACCTGGGAAGTATAACAAAGGGCTCTTGAAAAACCGGTGATAAAAAGCATATTATATGTCTCACTGCTGGGTAAAGGCTTCCGCTGTACAGAGGGTATTAGGGATAGTCCACCACGAAGCCACTTCGGATTGGCAGACATCAGATATTTTTGAGATATTTCTTTTTTCGTTATTATTTGGAAAATATGCGGGTTCTCTCACGATGTTTTCATTCGCCGCTGGACATCGAATAGATCATCATTTAAATGTTCTATAAAAATCATTGGTGCCGGCACCGTGATTTGAGCACAGGTTGCTCGACTATATTGAATTAAAAGCGGTCCTGCCAAAGCTATCAGAATGTAGGTATACCTACCGGTACTACAGTGTTCCGTCCAGCAAGTGAGATTAACCTTTCAACTGATTTCTCCGGCCAGCGGTGACTTACCTTCAGTTGGGCTGCTATTACGTTTGCCACATTATTTATAAAAAAAAAAAAACATTGTAAGTCTGTACCAAAGTACCGAGCACGACATCTCGTTACGGAGAGGGCATTAGACCTAGACGGGGCGACGTCACGGCCGCAAATACGAACCGCTGCGGAGCCGCACAGCAAATGCAGCAGCGTAACAATACACAAAGGGCCTGACGAGGTATAAAAAATGTCTGGTTGTCCATTGAAAAGTTCAACTCCCGCCCGCCGGAGGCAATAGGACGACACGCCATTACGCGCCAGGAGCCCGCCTGTCTGGTTTCATTATTTTTTTTTATGACAGAATGGGGCAAACAGTGGTAAGCATCGCCCACGTACGTTTGCGATACCTGTACGGTTGCAGATGCGTTGACACCTTTTAATTAAGGCTCGGTTAGCTCACTCACCACACGAAACACGGAAGTGTAACACTTTCATTTGACGCCGGTCTTCTTCATGTCTCTCTTCCGCCTTCCCATTCATGCAACAGCGAAGAACCCTGCGATAAACCCCTTTCGCGTGGCCCTACGACACTATATAAAAGTTTCTACAACAAAATCCCAGAAAATATTCAAAATGCATCCATAGCTAAATGTAAAAAAGTAGTAAAAGAATGGTTGTGTGTTAAAGGCTAATATAATATTAATGATTATTTAAATGATAACATCGCTTCAGGCTCTTTCAATTGGAGTTTTTATATTGTATTTGTAATATACTTATGTCACACCGTGTATGTCAAAAAATGAAAAAAAAAGTAGCCCACTGAGTTTCTTTCGCCGATTCTTATCAATTTCGGCTTTCTTTTCCGAACCGGTGATAGTATTTTGACTATCAATAAGTGATTGTAATTCTCCTATATCGAATAAAGATATTTGAATTTGAATCGGTGCTGGCACCGAGAGTATAAACTCAGTATACCCGGACACTGAGTTATCACGGCCATAGTATCCCATTAATTAAGTATCATCATTTATTTACTAACGACGTTTTATTACACTTTCGGCGACTTGGTGGCGTCGTTGTTAAGCTATGGGGTTCGGCGTTGAGGTTCGTGGGTTCGATTCCCACACGACAATTGTTCCGGATCCGGGTGTTTGTTTCCCAAGGAGGATTAACGTCAGACAGGCGGCCGGTCGTGATAAACATAGCGAACACCTCTAACAACATGGGCAGGCTCGTCCGGGTAAGTACCACGAACTCACAGAAGACCGGCGTCAAGTGGAAGTATAATACTTTCGCGTGGTGAGTGAGGTAGCCGGAGCCCAATTTCCAAAAAGCTTGTCAACGCTTCTGCAGACCCCTGTAGTCAGCTGATGTCCATGGGCGGCGGTATTCACTTAACATCAGGTGAAGCGTCAGCTCGTCTGGCAACTTTCACATAAAAAAGAAATCACATGTCGTCTGACACCACCTTGGTGGGATAAGGGCAGGAAATGATGATGATGATGTTTGATTACACTTTCTCTACGTCTCGAAAGATTCGTCCAATCGTGTAATACCGACTCAAGGTACTTGTTTTATCCGCCGTTCATTTGCTACATTATTTTTAACTTCTACATAGTATAAAACTAAGTCGTCCCGCTGTCTGTTTGTCCCTATGTGTGCTTAGATCTTTAAAATTACGCAATGGATTTTGATGCGTTGTTTTTAATAGATAGAGTGATTGATGAGGATGATTTATATGTATAATACATTGCACCCGTGCGAAGCCGGGGCGGGTCGCTAGTTATTAATAAATTACCGTTTGTTTCATTCATAATTCATTCGCTTAGTAGTTTATTAAAGAAATATTTCCCCGTGTAATGAGTGCCAGCGTGGATTACTGATGTTTTTTTCTTTCTTTATATTAAAAACTTCACGGCGTCAATACAACGTGGGCACCACCCAGTCATTCCAAACTGTTGGTGCGTCGATTAACTCATTATGAGATAATTAACGACGGACGGCAACGAAGAAAATGGCGTTCGCGCCAACAAACTGTCCGAATGGGACGTTTCTCCTTTTCATAATCTCCATTTGAGCCTGGCTAATGCCTTGTTATATTAAGATTTGTGAGACTTAATATCGTGTTTATATATTTTTACTTTGGCACTGGTCTCCTAAATTAAAAATTTGACCTTGTTTTTTACCGACTTCAAAAAGGAGAAGGTTTCTCCATTCGATTGTTTATGTTTTATTTTTATATATGTTTGGGCATAGCTCCGTCATATATAGACAGACGGATTTGCAAAAAATCTTTTTTTGTTCGAAAGGGATTTTGGTCATATTTAAAGTTCATATAGATCTGATGATGAGTTTGGGAGACAGACAACGGAACTCTTCAAAAAGTAATAGAAAATCAACGATTGCTGCTATCGCATAAATATGCATTTTTTTGCGCAATCACACAACAAAACATCACGTACGTACACTCGAATTGTAAGCGTCTACTTGTCTGACAGTGGGATAAATTTGAACTGCAAAATCTCCTAACAACAGTACAGTATTTCTTGACTTGTTCTTGCTTGTTCGCAAAGCAATTCAAGTTGAGCCGTTATCAATTCGCGAATTCGATTGGTAATCTTTGTAAATATACTTATAGCTAAACGAGTGCGAATTAAACTAAGAATATTATTGTACTTTTCTTGTTTTTAGTAATTTAAATTAAGTTACATATTATAAAATCTTATTTTTGACAATCTATTTTTCCGCTGGTCAGGTCTCTCGTTTGAAATGCTTAGAGATTTTCTTCCCTTATTTGCTTTTAATCGTTTAACTTTCCCATTCGTAGTTTCAGTTTGACGCCGTTTTTTCATACGAGCAGCGTCTTTGCTAAAAAAAATGGTTTTAACGAAAAAGAACCGACTTCAGAGAACTTTATTTAACACTAAAAAGTTTGAAATAATACTAAATCTAATAAAATCAAATCTTGAAAATCTAACCTATGTAACCTAACCTACGTAGCATCTGACAATTTTTGGAGTCCTAACTGTGATGGGACCAAGCAACAGTCTACGCTGTAGCACGAATGGCCAGTCCGTCTGGGTAAGTACCACGACCTCACTTATACTTCTGCGATTCGTCTGATGAGAGAGGTAGCCGGGGCCCACCTAATTAAAAGATGGCAACGCATCTCCAACCCTCTATAAGAGTTCTAACGATTTTACTCTGATCCTAAATTTATATTATTTAATTTATCCATAAATTTCTCGCGGACAAACACCCAGATGCGAGACAACTATTTGTGGGTCGCACAAATTGTTGTCCCGTGTGGGAATCGAACCCACGACCCCCGACGCCGAAGCCAATACCTTGGCAATGGCGCCACGGAATCATCATTTTTATGACCTGCATGACCATTAGTCGAACTACACGCGAAACAGTTTTATATTTATATTAAATTTACCTTTCGTTGAGGCCGTGTAAAAAGATTTACGGGCTCCTGTACTAGTACA